CCTCAACCCGCCCTGATTGATGGCCTCCAGCCGACGGTGGCTGCGCTTCAGTGCCTGAGTGGATCCTTCCGGATGAATGGTTTTATGTAGAACACAAGGTTGAGACGTCAGCCCGTATTTTCCTCAGGCTGCACTGAATTCAGGCTCGGATTGGGGTTAGGACACAGTACGGAGCTCAGGAGTCCGCGGTCTGTGAATTCACAGAGACTCGTACCTCCTCCGCTCGCAATGGAGAGCTCTGGCCGGTAACCTGGGTGTGGGGCAGGTTCCCTGCCTTGTATCTGCCAAAAAGCAGGACTCCTCACTTGGAGAAGGATACACATTTTTCAGCAGGGGTAAGACACCTCCTTTCCTCCCTTCACTCAGGAAGTCGGCTGAACTGTAACATGTGCAACGGTCAAACATCAATTCCATCGGAAGCAGACCCCCAGCATTGGCAATTTCAGCTCAGAGGCTTAAAGTTTGGCAAACGTAGAAGCATCCAAAAATGGAGTCTTTTAATGAAAGTGTTCAGCCAGCCTTCACTAAAGGAGCAGCAGCTGCCACGGCCAGTCAATTTGTGACTCTCCTTCAGCTGAGCTTCTCACTCCAGTGTCTGCAGCAAGGAGTTCCACAGGCTAAGTGGGGTTTGGGTGACTCTTTTTATTTTTATCGTGGTTAAATGAAACGGAAGCTTCCCGTGTTCATGTGTCATGAGAGGTATGAAATGAATGGGTAGCAGGTTTAAAACTAATAAAAGGAAGTTCTTCTTCACACAGCGTGTTGTCAACCTGTGGAACTCCTTGCCAGAGGAGGCGGTGAAGGCTAGGACTATAATAGAGTTTAAAGAGAAACTGGATAAATTCATGGAGGTTAGGTCCATAAAAGGCTATGAGCCAGGGGATAAAATGGTGTCCTTGGCCTCTGTTTGTCAGAGGCTGGAGAGGGATGGCAGGAGACAAATCGCTTGATCATTGTCTTCGGTCCCCCCTCTCTGGGGCACCTGGTGCTGGCCACTGTTGGTAGTCAGAATACTGGGCTAGATGGACCTTTGGTCTGACCCAGTACGGCCATTCTTATGTTCTTATGTTCTTATGAACTATCACTTCCTGGTCTGCTTTATAACACAGGCCGTGAAATTTCAGGCAGTTAGCCCAATATTGGGTCCTGTAACCTGTGTCTGATTAAGGCCCAAGCAACATTAGGACTTCATGTTATAGAGCCACAGTACCTGGGGCTGAGAAGAGTCAGGTATTCTCACCCCTACCAAATTTTAGGATTTGCTGCACCTAAACCATCCCACACAGATTATTCTCCAACCTCTCCAGAAAACCTCCACTGAAGGGGTTTCCAGAACCACATTCCATTCTCCTCCTGGTCTTAGTTGGGAAGTTTTATCCGGAGATTGCATCTAAATCTGTTCTGCTGGAGTTTGAACACACAGGTTCTTGTTCTGCCTGCTGGCAAGAGAGAACAACTTTCTGACATGTGTTTTATGGCAGCCTTTCAGGTATTTGGGCAACAAAATGGCAAATGAAATGTAATGTTGATAAATGTAAAGTAATGCACATTGGAAAAAAATAATGCCAGCTAGACATAGAAAATGATGGGGACTAATTTGGCTACAACGACTCAAGAGAGGGATCTTGGAGTCATTGTGGATAGTTCTCTGAAAACATCCACTCCGTGTGCAGTGACAGTCAAAAAAGCAAATAGAATGTTTGGAATCATTAAAAAAGGGATAGAGAATAAAACAGAGAATTTGTTATTGCCAAACAAACAAAATGACGTTTTTCGTCACTCTGTCAACCTGTGGAACTCCTTGCCAGAGGATGTGGTGAAGACTAGGACTTTAACAGGGCTCAAAAAAGAGCTAGATAGAATCATGGAGGGTCCACCAATGGCTATGAGCCAGGATGGGTAGGAATGGTGTCCCTAGCCTCTGTTTGTCCGGAAATGGGTGACAGGAGGGATCCTGTGAGGCTTACCTGTTCTGTTCCCTCCCTTTGGGGCACCTGGCCACTGTCGGCAGACAGGATACTGGGCTAGATGAAACTTTGGTCTGACCCAGTCCTCCAGCAGCTGAAGCCTAACCAGCCCCGAGAAGAGGAACAATATCCCCTCCCATTTCTCTGGGAATGGAACACAAAGCTGCATCTTCTTTTCATGAGCACAAAAGTCCACCCCTGAGAGAGATGCAGCTCTGTCTATCGAACCCTGGTGGTGACAGCATGGGCTGAACAGAAGAATTCTTCCCTCACTCAGCTACCACCTCTCAGGGTGGTGGATTCCCCACGCCGATCGGAGAACCCCTCCCTTGGAGTAAGTAGGGTCTGCACGGTAGCGCTACGGCAGTGCCGTTCAGACAGGCCCTCAAGCAGACCATCCAGAGCAGCACCCAGTGTGGCTCTGCAGATACGGGGAGTTGGAGAATCCACCACTTCCCTTCCCAGCTTGTCCCAACGGGCTACACATTTGGCCCTGATTGCCGACTGGAATTTCTCTGGCTTCTGCTTTCACCCATTAGGGCTTGCTCTGTCTTTCTCTGCCCGATGGTGGAGCCCCTTGCTATCCTTGATCTTTAACTCATAAGAGTTTCCCCTTCATTGTTCTTTTGGTAAATTAAATAGAGGATGCGTTTAAAGTCTCGTACCATGGAACGAGGTGTAACAGGAAATTTGAACCACGGATTTCGCTTGAATTACCGTTTAACTGCCACGTGTAGCCGTGGGCAGTCAGTCCGGACTAGTGGCATTTAAAAATGATGACTGGATGGGAACATGCAAATATTTAAATCCCAGGTTTCATTTGCAAGTTCAAATGCCTACATTAGCCACCCTAGTTCGAACTAGGGGGCTAGTGTAGACAGACCCTTAGATATTACTTGTCGGGAACTACTCTTTGTTTTCCTAGTTGAAGGGACTTCGTTCCATTCTTCATTGCCTCATAGACTCACAGACTTTAAGGTCAGAAGGGACCATTATGATCATCTAGTCTGACCCCCTGCACAGTGCAGGCCACAGAATCTCACCACCCCTCCTAGAATAATCCTCTCACCTATATCTCCGATATTGAAGCCTTCAAATACTTTGAAGGTTCCAAGATGCAGAGAATCCTCCAGCTGTGATCTGTGCCCCATGCTACAGAGGAAGGCAAAAAACCTCCAGGGCCTCTGCCAATCTACCCTGGAGGAAAATTCCTTCCCGACCCCAAATATGGCGATCAGCTAAACCCTGAGCATGTGGGCAAGACTCACCAGCCAGACACCCAGAAAGTTCTCTATAGTAACTCCTATCATCCCTCCATTGACCTATTTCCCACTGAAAATGAATGGTCAATTAGTTACCAAGTTCATATTATCTCATCAAGCCATCCCCTTATCATAGAACCACAGAGCTGGAAGAGACCTCAGAAGATCATCAAGTCCAGCCCCCTGCTCTAGGCAGGACCAATCCCATCTAAATCAACCCGGCCTCTTCTCTATCGTATGCCCCCTACTTTGTCTCTGCTGTCAACTAAATAGTTTCAGACTCTTCCGCTGTCCGCACCTGCCAACCTCCCCAGTTCTCATACCCTGTCTTGAAATTCTCCTTTCTACCTGCTACATCATGTCTAGAGACTAGGTTACCACAACTGAGAGCATCACCAGAGCAGGTTAATCTCCATCCTATTCTTTAGGTATCCAGCCATTGTCTTTGTTTTGTCACGGCTGTGAAAGAGCAGGTGTTTCCAAAGTGCTGCTCTCAGTGACATCCAGGTCTTTTCCCTGAGGTGCACTGTACTTGGGATGTTCTAACCTAGCACAAGTCTTAGCAAAGCTTTGGGGTTTCACCCACTCTCAGAATTGGAGCAACTGGGGTGACTGGAGAACTGCCTAAGGCATTGTCATGGTCATGAGGGATGGCCAGTAGCCTGGGGACTATGGGGTTAACTGTACCTAGCCAGGTAGCAGTCAGCCAATAGAAATGCAGATAGGGATTTCAAACTGAGACAAAGGAATTTTGGGGGGGTTTCCCTTTTTTGTCTCTGAGCCAGTTTGCTCTAGATACTGAGGGGGACAGAAAAGACTCTACCATCTGTAATCAGGGTAAAGTTTAGATACATCCATTACGTTTTTATTGTTTTCTGTTGTGGGACTTTGGATCTGATGTCTGTGCTGTTAGAAATGGATTTTCCTCTATTGCAACTAAGTTTTGGCCCATGGGATTCCACGTGAGTTTATTAATTGGTGGCTCTTACCACCTAGCCACTCCAACGATGCTTGTAACAGTATTGTTTTGATAATAAAAGTTCTTTCTTTTCAATTAACCTGGTATTGGTTCAGTTCTATGTCCTGGAAAAATCTGTCCATGGATATCTGCAGGCCTCTGACTAGGGGGCAACTACCCTAGACTTCAATTGGTATTTTCTCAAACTCTTTGGGGAAAAGAGCTTGGGGTGCCCTGGGGTTGGTTTCAAGTGTTCACCCGTTTGTGGGTTCAAAAGCACTTGATGGTGGCAGTGGATTTTTATCCCCAAAATCTAGGTTTTTAGGATTTGGGGGGTTGGTATACCAAAGCCTGGAAAACGAAGGTTTTGGGGTACTCTTGCAGGCCCCCACTTCTGCATTCATCATGCCAAAGTGGGGAATCAGCCTTGACAAGCATGGACTCTCTTTTCTTGCTTTCATCGGATGAAGACAAACTGGGAGCTAATCAGTATCCAGCCTATTTTCTGCTGCTGTCTATTAAGGTTTTCCACACTGCTATGTGCAGGAATCATTGTTGCATGGAGCATCATCAAACGTGGAATTGGCAATGGCGCTGTCGGTTGTTAATGGTTTGTTTACCTGAATAATCTCAAAAAATGAGAAAAGCCCCCAACAGTGCATGTTGTGTCTCATTAACATTGTGTCTCTGTGCAGGTGTTTATACAGTGACCATCAACCTGGACCCTGGGCAACCATTTTTACTGGAAGTCACAGGAATTTGTGGCACTTTCGTGAGACACTGTTCTGCCACAGAGTTGGACACCATCTCCCTTGCGCCATGTCAGATTCCAACCAGACCCACTTTTTCAACCCCTCCACCTTCATCCTGCTGGGCATCCCAGGCCTGGAGACGGCCCATGTCTGGATCTCCATCCCCTTCTGCATCATGTACATTGTAGTCATCTTGGGGAACTTCACCATCCTGTTCATTGTGAAGAGGGAGCCGAGCCTCCATGAGCCCATGTACTATTTCCTCTGCATGCTGGCCATCACCGACCTGGTCCTGTCCACGTCCACCCTGCCCAAAGTGCTGAGCATCTTCTGGTTCAATTCCAGGGAAATCGATTTCAGTGCCTGCCTCACCCAGATGTTCTTCATTCACAGCTTCTCCATGGTGGAGTCTGGGATCTTCATGGCTATGGCTGTGGATCGCTACGTGGCCATCTGCCATACCCTGAGATATTCCACCATCCTCACGAACCATGTGGGGGCCAAGATGGGTGTGGCTTTAGTGCTGCGTGGCTGTGTGCTGGTGCTGCCTATTCCCTTCCTGGCTCAGCAATGGCCATATTGCAGAACCAACATTATCGCCCATTCGTACTGTGAGCACATGGCCGTGGTGAAGCTGGCCTGTGCGGACATCAGCCTCAGTAATTATTACAGTCTCTCTGTGGCTCTGCTTGTTGCTGTTCTGGATTTCATTTTTATTGTCATATCCTATATTCAGATCCTCAGGACCATATTCAGCCTCCCCACAAAGGACGCCCGGCTGAAGACTTTTGGGACCTGCGGCTCCCATCTCTGTGTCATTTTGGTCTCTTATGTCCCATCTCTCTTCTCCTTCCTCACACACCGGTTTGGCCAGAATGTGCCCCTGTATTTCCACATTCTCAATGCCAGTGTGTATCTCCTGGTGCCCCCCATGCTGAACCCCATCATCTATGGGGTGAGGACCAAGCAGATCCGGGACAAGCTGCTCAAGCTCTTTACTCATAAAGGGAATTAAAAGTTTTCTCCTGGGGCTTGGGCTATCAGACTGAGCTCCATGCGTAAGTGGCTCGTGACATGGTGCTGGGCCCTCTGTCCTGAATCACTTTTAGGGTGTGTCTACACAGCAGCCTAAATTAAAAATTAGATTCACAATTTGTGCTATGTAACTTGTATATCTTATTTCGATTCCATTTCAAAATAGCTTATTTCGAAATCTGTCGCATTTACACAGTGCCAAATTTGGAAGATCCCACACTATTTCAAGGAACTATTTCAACAGGAAATCCAAATCTGACGAAGTGGGACTTTGCCCATGAAAACTTAAGCTCCAATAAAACTGTTAGTCTATAATGTGCCACGGGACTTCTTGTTGTTTATTTTGACAGGAGTGCTGAAATAGCGTGCCCGTTATTTCAAAAAATATTTCAAAATTACGATTGGTTTGTTAAAAAATGGGGTAGCTCTTTTGGGATACCTCCAGTATCCTGAAATCAACGCTTTGTGTACACGTACCCCTTACTAACTCATCTCAGAGACATTGAATCCTTTTCCGACCTCACTGTGCTGTGTCAGTGTCCGAAATTGGAGCATTCATGCTTGTGGACTTCGTTGGGTGTCAGCCTTTTGTCAAGCACCATCCCAGCTGTGCCTCTTCCACCCCTTTTCCTGTTGCTTGCTCCTCTCTTCCCCTCTCCCTGTCGCTCTCCAGATACATTCCACCTGCCTCTTCCAACCCCAAGGTGGAAAGGGACTCTTTGAGATTTTGGTAGGGATCACAATATTAATTTGAAGGGCTGTCTAGGCTCTGGAAATCTCCAGGTTTTTTTGGTAGGTAACTTAGCAATGAGTTGATGGGGCATTGTATCTAATCTACTGTATGTCTGAGGATATTTTCTGTCAATCAGTCTGAGAGTTTGTTTGTTCAAGAACTTGTCCAAAATTTTAAGAGCTAGGAATACCAAACTTGGTAGGCAGCTTCCTCTTACCATAGCACAGAGCAAGGGCAGGACCTGGCTGTGCCAGGAAAATGGGAGGTGCCTAAAATGGGAACGGTTCTCAAAAAGCCATACAGAAAAGAAGCAGAATCGCGAGGCAGGCAAAAAGGGCTCAGAACAGGTGCACCCCCCTTCTGGACCTGCCCCACCCCTCAGTGACCCCTTAGGGATTGTGCGAGGTGAGGGGATTGAATTATACACCCCATTTGTATTGGAGCATTGCCGGCTTTGACAGGAAGCATGGGGAAAGTGCACAGTTTTCTGCATCCCTCACACTGGCCAGAGAGTGCAGGAGACAGACAAACCAGGACCTGCCCCAGCTGGGGGGACATGCACCCCACCGCTCTCTGTGACTGCTGGAGCTGAAGCTGCCACGGACCTTTGGTCTGACCCGGTATGGCTGTTCGTATGTTGGACAGGCACTTCTCACTTCCTCACTAGAAGTTGTGGTGAGAGAAGGATATAGAACCTTCATCCCCAGAGCAGTGATTTAAATGAAGCATGATCATGTTCATTTTACCCCCCCCCCCCAAAAAAAAAGAATTGATTTAAGGACCCAAGCAACACTGGGTAAATCTTCTAGTTCTTATACAAAAGAGAGAAAATGAACTAAATATTAGACACACTCTATTCAAACAAGAACATGATTTCACGTCTTGCGGCACGTCATTTCGGGGATCCTGATTCGGTTAAAATGTAAATGTCCATTCAAACCTTATTACAGACACTTCAGAAAGAGGGGGGGGTCAGGCCTTTGGGGTTCTACCTCACCTCTGGGAGAGGAGCTGGAGATAATGGGTTACCACAGGCGGCAGCTACACCGGGAGTCTGTATAAGAACATCAGAATGGACAGACTGGATAAGGCCAATGATCAACCTTGTCGTGCTAATAAGAAGCCCACAGGATCGTTAGAGGGGAAAGGTAATATGCCACATTTATTGAGAATACAATGGCAAAGAAGTTAACATCTGCTTACACAGAGGGTATGTCTAAACTACATGGCTCCATCGACGGAGCCATGTAGATTTGTTTGTTTGGCAAAGGGAAATGAAGCTGCGATTTACATAATCACGGCTTCATTTAAATTTAAATGGCTGCTGCGCTGAGCCGACAAACAGCTGATCAGCTGTTTGTTGGCTCAGCACGCTAGTCTGGAGGCTCCCCTGCCGACATCAAAGCCCTTTGTCGGCAGCCCCGGTAAACCTCATCCCACGAGGAATAACGGGGC